AGACTTGGAACTCCAGGACAGTCCAAGTTACCAACTCCTTTGATTTCACCTTTAGCACCGTCTCCAAAGGTCACAAAACTGGTGGTGTGAGGTTTAACATTATTGAGGAGGTTCTTGATTCCAGTCATGTGTCTGGAACACCCACTGTCAAAGTACCAGTCTTCCTTTGCATAGACCCTCAGGGAAGTATGGGCTATCAGGACAGTAGCCTTTTTCTTCCATTTAGGAGTATGTGGTACCTTTTTAGACTTAGGTTTGACACCTGAGTTCTGATTAGGGTATCCATGCAATCTGAAGCAGAAAGGCTTTATGTGGTCATACCTCCCACAATGATGACATCTCCATCTTTGGTACCTTTTCTTCATATGTCTCTGTTCCTGATGTTGAGAGTTGTGTTGAGACATCTGTTTTGACATTTGCTTATCAGGCCTGATCTTCATGTTTGTACCAGTTTCTTTGCTTCCACAAATCCTAGACCAGATTTGTTTCCCACATTTTGTCCAACCTGAAGGATCTCTTCCAATTTGTCTGTTCCATTAGTCAGCATCTTGACAGATTTGGTCATTTGATTCAGTTGTGAGTTCAGCAATTTAACTTCCCCTTCTAGATGACTTATAGTTTCAAGGTCTGCCCTTTTTTCAGCCTCCAGCTTTATGATGAGTTTTGATTGTTTCTCATTCTGCACACAGACTTCAGCACTTCTGATACACAATTTCTTGTAAGTATCAGCCAGTTCTTCAAATGTCACTTCTTCATCACTAGTGTCACTTTCAGGGGTACAAACACCAGTTAGAGCAGTAACTAGTTTGGCAGATTCTTCTTCAGAATTACTTTCTGAATCACAGTCAGACCAGGTAACAGTCATTCCTTTCTTTTGTTTCTTAAGAAAGGTAGGACATTCAGCTCGAATATGCCCATATCCTTCATAACCATGGCATTGAATTCCTCTCCCTTGATTTCCCTTCTCTTCTGACCTTGGTCTTCTGCTGGAACTGTCAATGTCAGAGGGGATGTTATGAACATTCGACCTTGACTTTGGATCTATTCTTTTGATAAGTTTGTTGAATTGTCTTCCAAGCATGGCTATAGCTTCTGAGATATTTTCTTCTTCATCCTCCTTGTTTTCAACATCAGTGTTGGATACAAGTGTTATGCTCTTGTTCTGCTTGTCACCATTATCAGTGATCCCTATCTCAAAAGTCTGAAGAGACCCAATTAGTTCATCCACTTTCAACTTGCTGATGTCCTGGGCTTCCTCTATGGCAGTTACCTTCATTGCAAATCTTTTGGGCAAGGATCTGAGAATCTTTCTCACCAATTTTTCTTCTGACATCTTTTCTCCCAGTGCTCCTGAGGTGTTGGCAATCTCCAAGATGTTCATGTGAAACTCATGAATGGTTTCATCTTCCATCATTTTTAGATTCTCAAACTTGGTAGTCAACATCTGAAGCCTTGACATTTTTACTTTGGAAGTGCCCTCATGGGTAGTTTTGAGAGTGTCTCAAACTTCCTTGGCCAGTTCATATTGATGTACTAGTCTAAAAATGTTTCTATCAATTCCATTGAACAAGGCATTTAAAGCTTTGGAATTTCCCAGGGCTAACTCATCTTCTTCTTTACTCCAATCTTCCTCAGGCTTCAAACTGATTGTCCCATCTTTCTCAGTTATGGTGGGATGGTTCCATCCTTTGTCAGCTGCTCTCCAAGCCTTTTTATCCAGAGATTTTAAGAAGGAAATCATACGGGGTTTCCAGTAGTCATAATTTGTTCCATCCAGAATGGGTGGTCTATTTCCAAAAACTCCTTCTTTGTCCATAGTGCCAGAAAGTGATATCCCTAGATCTCACCCAGTAATACAGGCAGGGTGCCTGCTCTGATACCAATTGAAATTCTGGCTGCAGATACTCAATGTCACGTTCAATGTTATGACACCGTATCTGACTTTCTATAAGACAGTAAATACAAAAACAGTAAAGAACACAGTCAATTGTTTACCCAGTTCAGTGTGCAACAACACCTACTCTGGGGGCTACCAAGCCAGGGAGGAAATCCACTATAAGAGATATTAATTCAGGAATAAACCAACCAGTTTATCTCCTTCACTTAAGACCTACCCAATGCAACTTCAATCTAAGTACAACTTAAACCTGAGTTCCTACTCACTCCCCCTCAATCACAGCAGTGATACTTAAAACAATTGACTAATGAATTAATGAAGACACTCTTCAAAACATACACTTGATTATGCTTCACAGCTTTTTAATCAAGCAACACAAACACTCTTGCTTCACAGCTTTGAGTGATACATTAACCTAACTTGACTTTGCTTCAAAGCTTTAGTCAAGAGACACAAAAACACTCTTGCTTCAAAGCTTTGAGTGATACACAACCCTTACAATTAAAGCCTATTCCAAGTCACTTATCACAATGATACTTGCTTGGATTACAATAGTTAAAATTATACAGCTTCTAAAATGATCTTCTGTCAAAAGGGAATTATTCCAAAACAACAGCTCTGTTGAATATATAGCAGCTGCATCTTCAGTTAGGGTTTCCACAAAAAGTTAGGGTTAATTCCGTTTAACCTTAAGACTAGGTCACAAGACTTTATCAATCAGGTTAGGGTTGAGCTAGGTTAACCCCAAGTCCACGAGATTTTCTGTTCTGGAAAGACTGAGTCATAATCCTGAATAAACTCAGAATTACCCAAACTGCATAACTGTTAGTTCAGAACAGGATGTCTTAACATTTGTTATGACATTTGAATTCCTGTTTACTGATTTTGGTAAATGTGATCTTTTTGCAAAATGCTCAGATACACACTCATAAACAGCAGCACCTGTATGACAATATTTTTCTGCAAAAGTACCTAATAAATCAGTACCTAATAAACTAGAATGTTACGACATCAGTCATGACATTCACACACCTGCTTTTACCAAAAATGCATGCCAATAACTAAACAACTACAATCAAGAACAATTATAGACTCATATAAGGTTCAACCATTAAAGAACCTGTAACATTTATAGACCTAGGTTCAATAGTAAGAATAGAGATATGTGCTATATGGAGGCGAGGACCAAGAGTAAGAAACTTAGACTCAAATCTAGGTCGTCTATGTTTTTTCCTTGAGACGAATGACGAATGAACTATGACACATTTTCATGAAACATGACATCTTTGTAGACAACAAAATTCCGACTAAAAGGATGATAACATTTGTACGTTTTTTTTGTCAGGTACATAACCCAAAAAGGTACATATGACAACACAAGGATCCAACTTATTGCGATATGATTTATGGACATGAACAAAAGCAAAACAGACAAACACCCGAGACTCGAGACTATGCAATATGGTAATAAAGGGAAAACATGATAACATAAATTGAACATGACTAAAATTACCTAAGACTCGAGATGATACCTGATTAATCAGATATGTAAGAGTAAGAACTGTTCTCTCCCTAATAAGAGTTGGGATAATTTGAAATAAGAGAAATCAAGCAAGTTCAAGTAAATGAATATTTTCTTTCCGCAACATTGTTTTGTTCAGAGATGTTGACACATGTGAATTCATGGAAAATATCATATTTACCCGTGAAATTGAAAAATGCATGATTGACATATTCTTTACCATTTTCAAATCAAATTTCTTTTATAACCCTTTCAAATTATGTTTATACCATACTACAAATTGAATAAATAACTAGTACTTCTAATTTAGTATTCACCAAAACAATCTAAAAGTTGATTGATTCTTATAAAAGAGTTTGGAAAGTATATGTTCGATTGTGCAACAAGAGTTGGTGTTGATCAATGGTGGAAAATATGAATTAGTGATGCTAATCTCCAACGCAGTGGCGCGCGATGGACCTGCAATGTTAACACTCCAACGCCTAAGTCACTTTCAGAGTCTAAGAATGAATATAGTGAAAATTTGAGGTTAGATGAATGTATCTTGATTTTTTCATGTTCGGACTCTTATACGTTGGATTAATCTGGTTGGGGTGGCATAAGATTGGACATTTGATCGAACCGAAACAGTTGCTCCAAAGACTCTATCGGGTGAAAATCAGTCAAAGAATTCTTCAAAATGACAGTCGTCCTTTAATCACGGACCCGACCTTGGAGAGAAGTAGGATTGTTTGGAGTGGTTACTAAATTAGTGGGGAACAAGCGCATTGAGTGCTTTCCCTTCATTGAAACATTTCATAATTTTTTGACAAGTGGTATAAGATGACCAACTTAGGGCAGAATAGTTCCTTGTAGTGCACTTGAATGCACTCGAGTTTGTTAAGGAGAAATTTAGCTGTATAATCTTGTAACCCGTTGATTTTGCTAATCTGGTCCGTTGATTACTTTCACCTATATATAAGGGTTTTTAAATGCTGAGAGAACTTCATCGCTACATTTGAGAATCAATTTTTGCTTGTGAGTGCACTCCCTTCTTCTTCTCCCAAAGTATTTTCTCGAGTTATTGCTCTCCTTTGCACAAAGCTTACGTTCTCCTTTTCCGTCAGACTCTGCCTCTATCAAGTACCATCCTTACCTTAATCTTTTCCACATCTTTAGAATATCCTTTCTGGAAACCAATATGATTGATAGCCCCATAAGTTTTTCTAGCAATTATGAGAGTGATGATTCCCTTCCTTTAGTTAGGGTAGAAGCATATTCTAATCCCAATCCTCCGCCCTTAATCGATTAATGATTTCCGCATGAAGTCATATATGTATTTGACGATTCTGATTCAAAGAAGCTTTCTTGAGGCTTTTCATGTACCCGAAATTTTTTCAGTGATTCCTCTTTCGACGCTCTCTTCTCTGAAGGAGATGAAGAATCATGGCTTCCCTTCTACTTTGACTTCCAAAATTGCCCAACTTGAGGCTTTTTTTGGAGGTTGAGAAGATGCATCGTCAAGAAGCGTCAACTTCCGCTACCGAGGCACACACTCGTGCTGAAGAAGCTCTGAAAGACCTTTAACAGGAGAAGAAGTCTATGGTTGAAGATCAAAAGACTCTTGATGATCAGGTGGCAAAGCTGAGAAATAGGGTCGATGAGTCCCTCCGGTAAACTCTGACCAACATATATGTAGCCTTCAATTAGGCGGTCGACCAAGTCAAGAAGCTTTATCTAAATTCCCCTACCCCCAGAGGGAATGAATCCTTTCTAGGTTGTATGGGATGGAGCATTGGTGGACAACCGTGAGGCAACGTCTCAGAACAAGTAGGCTTAACTTCTTCTTTTTCTTATTTTTTCTATAATGTTAGTTGGGCTTTTATTCCTCTGTAACGATGACAATATTTAAATATTTATCTTTCCTTTTGATGCCTTTATATTCCTATGCGTGATGTGCTTTATTCAATTCCTTTGTGGCCCATCGATTTAGCATATGCATCCCCGGTGCCTAGGCTTTTAACCAACTGGTGGTTTCGACCTCAGTCGTGTATGACTAGAAGAATCTCATCTTTTTATTTTTTACTCCATTCGTTGTTTTCTCGTATATGGTATTTGGCGCATTTTCTTAACTTTGTGGTCTTGATCGGGAGAAGCAAACTAACAGCGACATGTCTTCACTTTTAGCTCTGATTGGGAAGAGTTATAGGTATTCTTCAGCGTCATTAGAATTCGTCCCCGACCAAAGGTAAGGTTCTTGTCTCTTCCCCAGGTTTGTCCTCGTTAGAGGAGCGTGTCTTCGGGCTCCACCGTCTATGCGTTTGGAATGACTTGTTTTTAATAAAGGGTGTGCCAGCTATGCTTTTAAGCGTGTTCGCCAAGTGTGGAGTTTGTGCCACAGATGTGACCTATGTTATCTTGTGGGCGGTTATGCGACCCGTGTATTTGTAAGATTTCAGACATTTAACATGTTATTTATTGAAAATTTGCAAAATCTCAAAGTGTACATATCTCGCTGAAGAAATCGTGAATTGGAGAGAGCTTGTAGGGAAACGTCTCTTAGTTGATGTTTATCTATAATAATGCATGTCCTGGTCGCCTGTTTGCGTGGTCCTCCTCTTCGGATACTCGACAACTATGCATGTCTCTCGGGATGTCCCCTAAGGGTATGTTTGCTCGAAAGGTCCCATCGAGCGACCGATGTCTTAGTGGTAAGCTGGCCCGCCCAGATTGTAGAAATTAGGTCACCTCTGAACGAGTGCTCTTGACCCATCATTAATAATGGTCAGATGAGTTGGTTATTCTGTTTGTGTACTCCTTTTTGGAGATAACGTTGGTCTCTAACAACCTAGACGGTGTGCCTAAAAAACACTCTATCTTCCTAGATCCGGCTGGATTAGCTTCAACCTCGGTCATTTAGAATTTTTCATTTAAAGTGTTGATGAGGTTTTTTTTTGAAGGTGAACCAATAGCATTTAGCTTTGGTGAGAAGGAATCACCAAGATCTTCCCTAACATCGATCCTACATGAGATTGTTCGGAAGTTAAGGCCATTTTCTTCGCTTGCTCCCTTTTTGGTGACAGTATTATATTTGCCAATTCGTCTGTGCGAGTTACTGAATCATTAAAGGTCAATGGACATCTACCGTCGTATGTTTTTCAACTTCGATTGATAAAAGTCTAGCCGTTCAATGGCATCATGGTGAAAGTCGTTATATGAACTCTGCAGTTATAGGCAGGATCTTGCGATTGTTCCATCAGCAAGGATGGGAGTGATAACTATCAACAACTATGTGATTGAGGCTCTGATTGTCTTAACTACTGCATTTATCTTCTCCCGACCTAGATATCATAGTACTGTTCGTTTCTTGTTTCACGATTTGGCATCGATTGTGGTTCAGGAGGCGTTATGGTCTTGGATACCGCTAGATCTCGTCATGTCGTGGATCTTCATCGAAGACCATTAACTAAAGCGAAATATTATTAGAGGATCTATCAGATCTCTTCATTACGAAGTATGAGGTGACTTTCTTCTTTCCTCGATGGTTCTAATAGAGATCTGTCTTTGGATCGAGGATTATAGATTTGTGAAACTTCACGGGAATCAGAAATCAGTTTTCACAGAGGTGCTATTGTTCTGTTGTGGAATTAGAATTGGTGTTGATAAATGGTTGAGGACTTTGAATTGATGATGTTGATCTCCAATGCGGTGGTACGAAATGTGTCTGTAATGTTAATACTCTAACGTCTAAGTCAGTTCAAAGTTTAAGAATTAATATAGCGAAAATTAGAGATAAGAAGAATATACCTTAAATTTGGTGTGTTCTTAGTCTTAAATGTTGAATAACTTTGGTTAGGCTGGCATAAGAGTGAGCCTTTCTTTGGTCGGCACAAAATAGTATCTATTTTGCAAATTAGTTAAAAATTTATGCATCCACACAAGTTTGAACAATTACTCAATTTGAATAAACTTATTCTAATTTTGAAAATTAAATTGTTTATGATGCTAGAAAACTAAAAATGTCATAAGCAAATAGTATGGAAATATGTTGATTGTTGAAACACGTTATATTTGTCTACTTTATTTGAAGTGATTTGGAGAGTTTAATGTCTCACAATAAAACTGTCCGTCCTCAATCTCACCAATAAAAAAATCTCAGTCAAATCTACACATGTATATTTCTTTCTTATTTACCCGTATATCAGAAAATCTGTTGACCTAAATATCGATTAAGAAATATAAAATTAAAACTAACTTTTATAATTTAAATTCGACAAAATAGATTTCGTAGATTAAACTTAATTATATAATATTTGATGTAGCTGAATATATGTGACAATTCTTCTAACGTCACGTATATTTGAGCCATTAAACTAGCGTCTCTCAGTTACATCTCTAAAGTGTTTACAATTACATAATTTATTGGAATTTAATGTGCTTTCAACATTTTAAAAATATTTAAATAAAAGGCATAACTGGATATATCTAAAAATATAATGAAGTAATTATGTAAATCTATAAAACAACATCATAATCCAATTCTTTTCTTTAGCATTTAGTGTCAAGAGAATAATTCAAATTCGTAAACAATATTAGTATACACATCAAATAATCTTTATATAAATATATTTTAAGATTAGAATAAAAGTTAATCTTAGAAAAGAAGAGTATAATTTTTTTATATATTTATTTTTCAAGAAAAAGAGTGTGTATTATAACATAAAAGAAGAGGAGAAGGTAATTCAAACTTTTTTAAAAGATACCTTTAAGAATTAAATAGAAATTACAACATTATCTATTTTAAATTAAATAAGTGTTTTATGATTAATATTAATTTTAAGTTAATATTTTCAATAAAAAATTACTATTTTAGAAATTAATTTTGTTTTTATTATAATTTTGCAGTGTCTATGATAATTAACATTGAAAATTTTATAATTTTTCTGTTAGGAAATAAGTAATGCTTAGTAAATTGATAAAGTAGAATCTTGATGATGTGGAGGCATCTTTAATGCAACGGCGTATGAGTGGACTTGTAAGGGTATCAATTCAGTGTCAATATTAATAAAAGAATGACGAGTAATGTGAGTTATAGGTCAAAGAGTACCTCATGTTTCACGCTAGAAGCCTTATATATGAGAGACAATTATGGATGTCACTTGCCATTTTGGAATGGAATGCAGGATGCTGTATGATGGCATATAACAATAGGCAAGAATCCATGACTTGGATATAATGTGGAGCTATAAAGCAGAGTTACACACCTTTAATGCTTTAATAGAGAGATTTTGGACTGATGATTGTGCCTTCCCCTTTTGGACTTGTGGTTGGCCAAAAATAATTCTCCCAAGACTTGTCATGGCGCATCAATAAAAAGGGGGCAACATGAGTGATCTTGGAAACATGTGAATAAAATGCCATTGTCATCATTAAAATGCCTCACATGATTGCTCTCACATGTGGTCCTAGTTCCTTAGACTAAATCATGGTGTTTTCCTCTAGGATGCTCAAGTGTACTCAAATGTCGTTGTAACCTCGAGGCAAATCCAATTTCATTTTAGTTAGGACCTTTGATTTACGTGCCCCACCTCAATATATAAAGGTTATTTCACCTTCCTAACACTCTTTGTACAAATTATACTTTTTTTTCTTCTTCTACGAACTCTGATTGCTCTGCCCTGAACCCCGATGTTTCCTATTTTATCTGTCCTTTTCTTTATTTTCATTATGCAATTTCTCGATTCATAACACTCTCAAAACAATCATTTGTCTTAACCTCTTCCTTAACATTCAACTCTTTCAGGTACCATTTTTCTCCTTGTTTATAATTTGTTGTTTTCCCTTCCTCGTTTTAGTCATGGCCAATATGAGAGATGACGTTGCGAATGTTCTAGACATATCTAGTGGTGACAATGTGAGTGGCACTTAATCTCACATTGAAATAGTAAACCTAGAAATGTCCAACATCACATTTTTAGCAGTTAATCGATCTATTGCAAACCTTATTATTCTTAGTGATAATTCTAGTTCTGAATTGGGTTCTATCGAAGATAGAAACAAACCCTCGATTTACATCCTAGAGGAAATAAAAATTATTATGCGGAAGGAAATAGAGAGATGAACTATGATTTTCTTGGATACTAATAATGGCCTGTCTTCTCCTGCCTAGAATATGGAAGATCTGCAGCATGTTGAGGCTTACTGAGATGAACCAGGAACTCCTCTCTTTATTAACTCTTTGAGGCTTTTAAATGGTCGGGAGCCTAATGATATGGAGTTTTGAGATCACCTTAAATTTAAGAGTCATTCCCCAATTCATGACATGCATTATTTTTTTATGAAAGTTGGAGGACATGGTTCTAAAGGATGGTCAAGGTCTTGTAATGCCTTTTAGTGCTTCTCAGTACCACTGGGTAGAGGAGGAGCTATTAAGGATGATTTCATTCTTTAGAAACACTTAAAATTTTGAGGGTGCTTATAGATATGGGGACCGTCCTCTGATTAGTCTATTTGTCATGTCGGCCCCTACAAAAGAATATGTACTTTCTTTGATGAATGTTCCATACCTCTATATAAATGTGTGTTATCCATGCTAAGGTTCAAGTTTCCTTTCAACAATTTCAAGGAGGGGGTTCTGAATCATTTGAGATTTTCCTCATTACAACTTCACTTGGTTTCTTGGGCCTTCGTCAAAGTATTCAAGTACTAGCGTGAGTACCATGGAAAAGTGTTGACTTTGAGGTTTCTTCCACCTCTTCAATGTGAAATGCATTTAGTCTAGTAGAGATTGGGGACATGTGTTGTTTTCACTTCGACAACAGTTGAAGATGTTTGATGTTTACATTGAGAGCTGAAAAAACTTTAAGGAGCATTACTTCTTGGTGACCCCATTAGAATTAAGAGGCTCAATATGAATTTTGCATCCTTACAAAATATGGTCATTTCACATCTGGCCCCTCCCCTTGTTTGGAGCAGTAAAATGTACAAACATGATTCAATAATGCTGGACCTAAGACTATTTCTTCCTAGCTCCAAAAACAAATGCCTTCACCTATTACTCTTTGACCCTGAAGAAAGATTCATTGAGAGATTACTTAGTCTCATTCTAAAAGATCTTGGATTATGCAGATGCAGTTTTTTCCTTCAGTTGTAGCCCCTCACATCAGAAAAGTGATATATTAACATACAGTCGGTTGTGGAAGTGGCCATTGCTCTTGAAATAAAATATATCTTTGGTGAAGAGAGGGACCTATCTTTATGTTTACGTTTATTATTCACAAAACATTTCTGGAATATCTTTAAGAAGATGAAGGTTCGTGTGGCGAAGGATGTTCCTCCACCTCCTTCTCAGACTCTTACCACGTCCTCGATTGAAGTGGGAATGCGTACATACCTAAGAGAAAATGAGACTTTGCTTACAGACAGAAACACACGACCCAAACCGAGCAAGAAAATATGGTGGACCCAAGGCGCCCTTCATTTGAAAGTCGAAGCAAGAAATCTCACGACCGATCATCATCTATTGATGGTGAAACCACCAATATAAATCGTTGAAAAATCAAGATGTGTGGTTAATTCTTCCAAAAAAACATAAGCCATCACAACCAACCTCTAAAAGGGTAATCATGAGCGGCGAATCATATTTTGTTCCCGTCTATAAGCTTACATATATCTTTATATATGGTAATGGTCCATACTGCCAAGGAAGTGAATTCTTGCATCCTCTAATGAGACTATGCATACATTTAAAACCTCTCTGATATGGCTAAGTTGGATTTAATGGCCGAGATGGCCTTCAATATGTATCGGGGTGCTTCTTTATCATCATTGGTGGCTGTTGGATGTGGTAAGGTGTTTGAACCAAGTAACCCTTCCAAGGAGAGAGAGCTTCTGGAAGGCCAATCTAACCTTGTTCTTCATGATAGGAACTATCTCCAAGATAAACTTACTAGTCTTGAAAAATACACGGAGACCCACAATGTCCCTTCCGAGCTTGCCTTAATGGTCTCATCCCCTTATGGAATCCTTGGAAGAGAAGGAGAAATCCCTTAGAGAGGTCCATACTTATTTTTCCAACTCTGAGACGACCTAAGAAACATTGGCTTCAAAGGTTAAGACGGTTGAGGAAAGCCTTTAGAAAGAGAAGAAATACCACTGCAAGGAGGTGAAGTCTCATGAAGATAACTTAGCCGGAGTGAAAAAGGAGTTTGATGCCTCTGTTAATGATAGTATCAACGTCATTCATATTACCTTTCAAAATACTCTTAACCAAGTGGATTTGTTTTAGCCCGACCTAAAGATTTCTTGAGAGTTATTGAACCTAGAGAAGGTAGTTGTGGACGGAGAGATAATCAATGATGATGAATGAGCCTCGTGGCTTTGTTGACCGATGCTTCTAATTTGTTGTTGATTCTAGCAATTGTAATAGTATTTTATGAAACACATCATAACTTTTCTTTCAATGAATATATTCCTTCCTTACCAGGTTTGACTACCCACTTGCTTTCTCTTTTCCTTTCTTGGCTTTGTTTTTAGCTTTCCGTGACTTTATTCGCTGCATAATATTTCACGATTGCACTTCATTGGTGATTTCTATGATTTTATTTCATCATATAATATGTCATGATTTTATTTCATCATGTAATATTTCATGATTTTATTTGATCATGTGGTCTTTTATAATTTTATTTCATCATATGATCTTCCATAATTTTATGTCATCACATGATCTTCTATGATTATATTTCATCTTATAATTTTCCATTATTGTATTTCATCATGTAATATTTCCTGACTATATTTCATCATGTTCACACCATCGTTCGAGGCCGAAGTATACTTTAACGTCTTTGAGGACCATGCTCGATCAAGGGTTGGTTTACGTTCCCTGTCCCCAAGTGAAAATCTGATTTTAGATCGATGTATCTAAAGCTCCACAAAAATAAAGTTAATAAGGCGTGACAATTTAGTGTGTTATTTTTTTAGAGAAATAACATAAACATTAATATAAATTATAGAACATTAGTAATGAGGGTCAAATAAGTTATCCGCAGACGGACTAGTCATAATGAGTAGCGGATATTTTAAAGTCAGATTAAAATAAAACCTTTTTAAATTTAAGCTCTACTTTTAATACCTCGCCCTCTGTTTTTTATTTAGATTGAAAGATAATACATATGAGTTAATCCATTTTGATGACTCTAGTACTTGCTATAATTTTTTGCAGTTTTCCATTCAAACCAACAAAGTAGCATATAAATATTTGATTGATTAAAAATAATGATATTTAAATTTGAACGACACTTCCCATTTTTTATAAGAAATAATTATTTTTTAAATTTATTAGATAAATAGTAGATTTGATTAGATCAAATACGATTATTCCATACATTTTTAAAAAATTAATTGTTTTTTTTATAAAAGAGATAAGGGGTATCAATTTTGCTAAAGGCATAATTTATTTTTATAATTTTGTTCGGGTCGAATATAAATCCGCATCAATGCGATTATGAGGTATTGCATGTTTTAGGTGTGAGAATTCCAATAACTTTGTTCTTTAAAAAAACGCCTCATTAGATTGAGGTGTATACACATGACGAATTCACGTTGAGACCTGGTGTGACTATAGCTACACTAATTTTTTCATTTTTGTAAATATTATATATACATCAAGGTTTATTACTAGGATAACTAATTATTTTATATTATATAAACACTAAAGCTTATTAATATAATTAATAAAAAATATTATTAACTCAATTTTCTCTCTTTCATAGTAACTCTTTATTATATTTTTCTCTAAATTTTAAAAATTGTACTGACTATCAAATCAACGAGAGTATTAGATGATTTTTTAAAATCAAATCCTTAGATCACTGATCAAACAATTTGACTAAACCAAATTAATACAGATAATTCGATATGAATAAATCAGTTTCTATAACAAATATATATATATATATATATATATATATATATATATATATATATATATATATATATATATTAAACCGGTCGAAAAAGATGAATCGGTCTCTAAAAAATATCAAACACCTATAAATCTAAATAAATTTTGAACAAAGTTTAATTGTAAAATTGAATAACAAAATAACTTGTCTAATAAATTTAGTTTTAAGGAGGGAAAATTGTTCCAAATAACTTTTGAACAAAGTATATTAATATTTAAATTTTGTTAACATGACCAAACTAGCAATTAACCCGTCAGTTCTCCAGTTTTTACAGATTTTGACGATTCTAGCCGGTTTACACCGATTCAATAACTTACTCAGTCTAGCAATTAAACCAAACCAACAACCTCTTCGCTTCCCAGCCTGATCGGTCGATTCACTCCAATTTTTAAAATATTGTTTTTCTCTCTCTTGTTGTAATTTCTTTTTCCATTTCTCTCATATCTCACCATCTCTCATACTTGTCTCTTCCTCTCGTATTGATTAATCTTTCATTTTCTTTCTCCGATTTTTTCACTCGGCTTGATTGCATTTATTTATGGGTGATTGAAAATCCAAGATAAAGTGAAGTATTTCAATTTTCTATTATTCTCTTCTCCTTTTTTAGCTGAACTATAAAATCCCAATTAAATTTTTTTTCTCAATTTCTCATAAATAGTTTTCTTTATAATAAAATAATTTTATTGTTCTCTTTATAGTATGGATAACTATTTTAAATGGTTTCATTGTTCTCTTTAGTTCATACTTTATTTCATGTTTAGCCACACCAATATATAATGTCTGGATCTGCCCCTGGTTGTATATAAACTACTTTCCCTCACATATTTGTCTTTTAGAAAAGATGTCTCGTGTTAGTGTGTAAGACATTTTTAGTAAGGAGAAAAGAGAGAGAATAAGGAAATAAAGATTGATATTATTGAATTGTACAAACTGAATTACAAACTACGTATATAATATATACATATGACTTGTACACTAAGTACTTAACGAACCCTAATTAACTTGGGTTTGACATTGAATTACTTAACTTGGATTATATCACAATATACCCCCTATAATCCAAGTTCTCGAACATACACTAATCATAGTCGATCTGAACTATTCCTAATTTCTTTCTCAAAGTCAGGAATTTGTCCATCTTCAATCCTTTGGTGAAAATATCGGCCAATTGTTCTTCACTTGAGCAATGTCTTACTTCAAGTTCACCTCGATTTACCTTCTCTCTGAAGAATTAAAATCTAGCTTCGATGTGCTTACTCCTTCCATGCATAACTGGATTCTTTGCAAGATTAATGGTTGACTAATTGTCGAACTGCAACACCAGATATTTCTTCACTTCGACCTCAATCTCTCCCAGCACATACATGTTCCAAATTTATTGATATGCAACATAAGATTCTGCTATATATTCAGCCTCACACAATGACAGTGCCACCACAAGTTGCTTTCTCAAGCACCATGAGATTGGGGCACCAAATACTTGAAAGAAATAATCAGTTGTGCTTCTTCGATCTTCCTTATCTTTATACCAATCAACATCTGAATAGAAATTAGTCACAACTTCTTTAGTTTCAGAGTCTCATCGAAGAATTCCATAGTTTATCAATCTATTTAAGTATCTCAATATTCTTCTTGCAACCTTCATGTGTGACACCCTCGGTTGACTCATGTATCTACTCACTAATCCAACGACAAAACCTATATCTGGTCGAATGTTGTACACATATCTTAGAGATCCCACAAATTGTTTGAACAAAGTAGCATCAACCTTGTCCTTCTCTCCATGTTTCTCCAGTTTCAAGTTTGGTTCGACATGTGAGGATGTAGGATTTGACTGATCCATTATGAATCTCTTGAGTATCTCTTTGACATACTTCCTTTGGTGTAACACCATACCTTTCTTCGAAATTTGAAATTTTATGCCTAGGAAATAAGACAAGTTTCCCAGATCCAACATTTCAAATTCCCTCGTCCTCAGCTCTTTGAACTTTGACAAGTTCTCTAAGCTATTTCCAGTTACCATCAAGTCATAAACACCATACTTAGACTTGCATTTTACAAATCCCAATTTGAACAAGTATGATTCTATCTTCTTGTTTCATGCCCTAGGTGCCTGTTTAAGGCCATAGAGCCATTTGTACAACTTATACACCTTACTCGCTTCCTCCTGAATCACAAACCCAGGAGGTTGTGTGACATAGACCTCTTTGTACAAGGGACCATTTAGAAATGTTGATTTCACATCTAAGTGAAATATCGACCAACCTTTATTACATGCCAAGGCTACCATTAGTCGTACAGTCTTCAATCTTACTACTGGTGTATATACTTTAGAGTAGTCGAGTCTTGATCTCTAAAGAAATCCTTGGGCTAACAATCTTTCCTTATGTCTTTCTATCGACCCATCAACAATGTGCTTCAACTTGAACACCCACTTCACTTTGATAACTTTTGTGTATGTTGGCAATTTGACTAACTCACGTGTCTTGTTTCTTTAGATTGCCTGTAACTCTATGAAAATATCTGACTTCCACTGTTTATTATTTAAATCCTCGTTATAGTTTATTGGTTCAGCATATGCAAGTAAAGCAAAATGAACTATTTCTCCATCTTGTGTGACTTCATCATCTCCAGTCACTTCATAGTCTTGAAGTCTTGCTGGACGAACTCTAATTCTTTGAGGTATTTAGATTGTTCTAACTACATCCTTTTCGACTGTTTGGGAATGTCAACAACTACTTTGACTTCGATTGGAATATCGACAATTTCTTCGTCTTTGACTTCATTAGTTTTTTCGTCGAAGCTATAGCTCATCAATGGATTATTAACTGCATCACCGAAATTCCAATCCTAGGAATAATTTTCATCAATCACAATATCTTGACTCACCACGTTCATCTCTATAATTGGATTAAACTACTTGTATGCTCCAATTTTGTAATATCCTACTAGAATCATAGGTTCACTCTTTTCATCAAACTTCATTCTTCTCACATTAGGAACATGCTTGTAACAAATAGATCCAAACACCTTCAGGTGGCTCATCGTTGGTCGTTTTTTACTCCACAATGCTTCAGGAACCTT